TTCCTCTGCCCAGATTCAATTTGGTTGAATAGGGCTCATATAGGACAGTTTATCCCTCTGACCAGCTTCTCCAATCTACCCACAAATCCGAAACTCCCACCTGATGGTCACTTCTGGTATATGAGGCGATGGAGTACAGTGTCTCCTCCAAATGCACCGTCACGCTCAAGTTTTTCTCTAAACCCCCAATTTCCTCCTCTATCCACTGCTGGGTTTTGTTTTGTTCCTCCTGCAATTCCTTGTACTTTTTGTTTAGTAAGTTTAATTCACCTCCGTCAGCTTGTGTCTGTTCTGGTTGTTCTGCCACTTTCCAACATCCAACATTCCATGAAGGTAATTAAATTTTGGAGAAACTGTTGAAACAATTCCGGTTCTTCCTCATTCATGGTATTGTTCAGCGTTGTCTCTGCTAGTCTGATGAGGAAATGCCGAGTTTGGCCCGTAAACCCTCCAGAAGTTTCATCACTATTGAGGTGTTTTCAAACAACAAAAGTTGTGAGAAGATTCTTATGTTCAGTTTCTTGAAATCTCATGATTTCAAGAAAAATCATGAGACTCACCTGACAAAGAAATGTCAGGTGAGTCAGGTGTGAACAAAGCTTCTTCAGGTTTTATTAGTGCAGCACCCTCCCTGTGTTCCTTCTGCTGATTTATGTTTAAAGCGAAACAGTTTGAAAAGCTTTTGCTCTTCTTGAAGCTGATTATTGTTGTCAGGAATCAAAAAGCTCAGGTTCCAGCTTGTTTTGCACCAGATGACAGTGGAGCACAAACACCATAGCTATGTTTTAGTGTTACATTTTTATTCTACATTATGTTGTTAGTGTGATAGATTGGCTGAGCACCAACATGTAGGGAGCAAAACAGGAAGACGTGAGAAAAAAGCCACCCGTCATGAACACTGTGAACCTTTGTTTATTTGTCTGTAAAATTCTCTTCCTTCCAAGATGCAAAGTTTTGTCGGATTCATCAAAGAGCGCACAAAGAAGCTGCTGAAGGTTGTAGTCAGATCTGGTTTGACTGGTGAAGATGTGGATTGTAAACCTGAAAAAGGGCTTTGGAGTTCACAGGAAAAGAAGCAGAGTCAGTTTTTGAAAAAATGTTTTGTGGTAAGAAGGTATTTTATCATCAAAGTAAATTAACGTGGGAGTGATCCTGAAACAGGGCGTTGGTATAGAATACCACAGAGTTCCTCATCAGGAATGTCAAGGGACAGGAACAAAAGCGCACGCTAAAATGTTTCATGGTTAAACGAAGCTGAGTTTCGGCGTCTGAGCATCATCTTGATTTTATTACAATGATGCAGTTTTCTGTTTTATTCCACTACAAAAATAATTTAGTTTTTGTTGTTTCTAGTTCAGTTGTGAAAGGCTGTAGACATCTTAACCCATTTTACAAACACTCACAGACCTCCTACCCTGAAATTGCCCCGTGATAACACATCTTAATACATGATGCAACCTGAAAATAAAATATTAGTCTGTTAACTCACGTATTGTTGTTTTCTTTGGTCATCCTAATGAACATAGTGGTGCTGGTTGGTAAATGTGAAGATAGAGCTTGAACACATCTTCGTGGGCATTTTGAGTTATTTACACATTCTGAGCTTTCTAATGATGTCAAAGACATGGAAATAAAAAAGAAGTTCTTTACTACCAAGTGTTATGTGCATTAATAAGAATTTGGGCTATTTGTGATTTAGAAGCATAATTAAAGAAAAATAAACTGTGAAAATAATCAAACCATTTCTATCAATTCTATTTATTTAATTTAACATTTTTCTTATTAAATAAAAATAACAAATGCTGTTGACAGACAGACTGCTCTAAAGCCAAGACTTCCTCCATTGTCCCGTTCTGGCCTCTAGTGGCAACACTGACTTACAGCCAAGCCAACTGAAGAAGAACCGGAAACACCAGGAAAGTGAATCTGGACAACATCAGTGTTGTATGAAGTTCTGAAATCTCGGAGTCAAGTGAAAGTATAGGTACCGCTCCAAAATATGACTTTGGTCAAAGTAAAAGTCACTGATTGAAATGTCACTTGAGTTCAAGTCTTAAAGTATCTGAAATGTCTTGTACTTAAGTATGGAAATTACTGTAACAATGGATGAACTCAAGTAATGTAATGAAAAGTTTAAGTAAAAAGTAAAACAAGGCAAATACAGTTTGAATGACATTTTTAATATTTTGCTAAACTTGTTAAATACACTTAAAATAATGAACACAACCAAGTGTAGGCAAAATAAAACCTGCTAATAGATAAACCTGCAGCATCATTTAGTTAAGAACATTAGGTGCTTTACTTAAACCACAAGGTTAACTTAACCTGCTTTAGGTTAACTTAACCTGCTTTAGGTTAACTTAACCTGCTTTAGGTTAACTTAACCTGCTTTACAACTGAACCAGCTTTTTAGTAAACCCTCCAGGACAGAAAATACAAAGTTTCTATAAGCCTCCAGTTTTCCCTTTCAGTAAGGTCAGTGCTGAAAATGAGAAAAATAAATAGTCAGTACAGAAAATGCGGCCAACATGAAGAAAAAAAACCTGTTAGGATTCCTCTACTTCACACACTATAGGTGCAACAACTGGTCATTATGCAAAAGATTAACTTGGTGTTTAATGGGAGAAGCGAAACAGACCTCCGTGAAGCTGAACCCCACCTACATCAAAAAATCCAGCAAATAGTCTAATTGGTTTGTGCTCCGTTTGTGCCTTTAAAATGTTTGTTTGTGCAGCTTTGGTTTCCGAGATAATAAAAATGATTTTTTAGGCCATCCAAAATATATACTTTGTAAGATTACAATTACTGAAAATATTGAGTATGACTACTTCATGACTACTTCCGATTATGGACCCCAAAACTGGGATCCATAATCAGAAAATATATCTTAAGGAATAGCAGGAAGATGAAAAACATGTTTAATGAGGAGTTGAGCAGTCTGAAAAGCGGTGTGCAGTTTGCGGAGTGGAATCAAATGACAAGCTTTGGAAAAACAGTCAACAAAGGTGAGAATGGTGGACATACCTCGGGATGGGGTAAGCCGGTGAAGAAGTCGATGGAGACATGGGACCATAGGCGTTTGGGGATAGGTAGTGGTCGGAGGAGACCGGATGGAGGTTGATGGGATGACTTATTCCTAAAACAGACTGTACATGCTTGGACATATTTGATGTCCTCATGAATGGAAGACCACCAGAACTTATGGATTATGAGGGAGATGTTCGATTGATACCTGCATGTCCTGAGAATTTGGAAGCCACTGGATGAAACGGGCTTGGACAGAAGTAGGTACATAGATATTATCAAACACTTTCTGGGGCTGGGGTGGTGAGGACGACGACATGTACAACAGAATCATCATTAGAGGAATGTCCATAAATCGGCCGGACGCTCAGATTGCAAGATACAAAATGATCAAACATGGAAGAGACTTGCACAACGAGGTGAATCCAGAAAACGCTGTAAAAACACAAAAATCAGCAGAGAATATTGACACTGATGGACTAAATTCACTGAACTTTACTGTCAACAAGATTTTGAAGGATGTCTTGTTCACTTTAATCACTGTGGATGTTCAGCCTCCACCACAGTGAACGCCAGAAATACATGTTGAAATGGTTGTAGCCATGGCTTGGCTTTGGGCCGTGTGTGTGAAGTTTAGCTTTAACATATCCAGAATAACCAGGCATATGAACACAGCTTTTTACTAGGTCATGAGGCTGACCTCTAGTATACTGCTCCAAGAATAAACAATCTTTGGCACTTTATTTCAATGCTGTGTTCAAACGCTGCCATGAATGTCTTAAATTGGAGAAGATCACCATCAAATATTGGTATGTCCCGTTTCGGCAGAAAAAATAAAGATGGTTGATTTACAAGCAAGCTTGTAATTTCATTCTGTCTCTCCAAAACACTCTACAGTTGTTTATTTCCAGAAACTACAGAAATCCATAAAACAAAGCGACTCAGTGCGTGTGTATCTGTCCATACTTCAGTTCCAGCAGAACTGAGGTGTTGAGCTGCAGTTAAGGAAGTATCATTAGTATCTATGCTCACTAGGATAAGCATTCAAAACAGGCTGTGCTAGCTGCAGCATAGGGACGAGCAGCCACATGAGATAGTGAATGACAGCACTAAAACTCTCCTGCCTCTGATTGGATGTTTCTAGATAGTACTGGAAGAAGGCAGAGGAAATAGATTCTTAACAGATTATCTGTCATATCATACAGTCACAACATGATCACAGTTTTAACAAATGTGTTTAAAAAAAGTATAGAAATGACTTACTGTAGCTTTAATTTAACTTAGGAGAAATCAGATCAGGAGGGACATGGGTTAGAGGTGCTGCTCCTGACTCACCTGTTGTTAAGTAATAAAAGGTTTAGAGACAAGTTCAACACATGAATATCTTGTTTTTCCTCTGAGTTTCCTTCATGCTGATTCACTTCTTTCCCTCAGCCTGCCTGCCTGCTCTCCCCTCACAGCTGAACCCTGTTTCCCATCAGCTACCTGTTCTTCATCCAGCTTTCTAACTTCAAAGTATCTCAGCTCCTCATTTTGTTTATTCCCTGCTAGAATCTCCTGTTTGATTCCTTTTTCTGCCTTCCGGCTCCAGTTTGTTTCACCTGATTACTTACGTGACTATTTGTACTTTTATGTCTAATCTCTAATAAACTGTAAAGTTTTCAGACCTGATTTAAAGGAGGCAACAGCTTCTGTCTTAGAAACAGATTATCTGGTTCACATCTGTCCATCCAGACCCTTTTGACTCTTATTTAGAAACTATTGAAAAAGTCCAACCGGTTTTGACTGGAATGATTCTGGGATTTTAAAGTTTTGTTGCACAATGCATCATGTTCCTGATGTCTGACATGCAGCATAGCAGGTTTGTTTTGTCATCGCAGCTCATGGATTTGACAGTCATAATTGGAGTTTGTTGAAACCTCCCACCTGAAATGTGAGAAGGAAGAAGGAAGGTGCTCTAAAACAAAAGGCAGGATCTTGTTGCAGTGACAGGAAGCGAAGCTGTGAAACATTACTGAGTTTAAAGATTCAAATCAAAGACATGAAGGAGAAAATCACCAGGATTTTGGCCCTTTTTGCGTTATTCACTCTGACGTGCTTAGCTGTGTTTTTCATCTACAGCAAAGACATTTCTTTTGTTTTTCCTTCTGTGCTGCATCAGCAGGTGAAAGGAAACGGGAGTGTTTTTGGAAATGTGATGGATTGGGTAACGAACACCCAAGCGACTCTGGATCCGTGTCCCGATTCGCCTCCGTCTCTGGTGGGTCCATTTCTGGTGGAGTTTGAAACCAAGCGCAGCCTGGACTGGGTCAGGACCCAGGTGGGATCTGAGCTGCAGCAGGGAGGTCGGTTCAAACCCGCGAACTGCACCGCCAGGCAGAAGGTGAGGCAGGAGATGATGTTAGATTGGCTGCGAAATATTTAAATATAACTGAAAACATGGTAAATACGCAGAAGGAACTGGAGATTAAAAGATAATTGCTAAATGATCATGTGTCAAATGAAGCTTAAAGATGAAGGAATAAAATGTGTGACCTGCAGCATTAAATCAAACATGAAACTGTTGAATGCAGAAATGTTTACTAGTCGATTTATTGAACTTTTTCTCAAAAAGTTCATGATTTCTGGGTCAGCTCAGCCTCTCATCCAAAGTTGGACAGTATTTTCTGAAGCCTAAATTATACAATAAACATTGATGAGTTAATATCAAATCTATCGATTTGCATTAGAAACGTGTCTCTTAACATTTCATTCTGCTTTCAGAAACCACAAAAGGCTGATTTATATTACTTTAAAAATGTGTAAAATTATAATATTGCACCAGTAAAAATATGAAGTTACTTCACACTGATGATCATGAAACCCTTTTAATGTACAATTTATGAAATTTTACAGGTTTTTATATATTTACTTTGACTTTTTAAACATTTTTTAAAGTTTGCTTTCTTTCGACTGCAATCAATAAATTTGAAAGTATCATTAAAAGATAATAATATATCTGAAAATATATAGCAACAATATAAGGTGAAGAACGAGCTTTACTTCAAGATGTAATAATGCATAATTTCTCCTTCCAGCATCATGTTTTATGTAAAATCCAGTTTGCTTCTCAGAAACAAAATTGAAAGTATAAATTTACCTGCGAAACAAACAACTTCCAGAAAACATAACCCAGTCTCAGTATCTGAATTTACCTTCATGATTTTTCAAAATAATTAAAAATACTTGTTGAAGAAACATGCATGAAACTCTGCAAATTGGAGCAACAGAAACAAATGAATAATGACTTATAACATGAACAAACTTATTCATTTATGATTTTAGCTGCGTTTCTTGTTTTGCGCAGTTTGTTTTTCAGTGCAAACTAAAATCTTATTCTGTTGGAAGAGAAACGGCTTTAATGGCTGCAGCTGGGTATCCATTACAAATGGGCGCAAAACTTTGTTCTTTATTCTGCTGATGTTGAGAAAAACATAACTTCCAGTGATTCCATAAAATAAGGAATCCAATTAAAATCACATGTGAATCAGTTTGTTCTCCTTCCGGCATCAAGTTTTATGTAAAATCCAGTTTGTTTCTCAGAAACAACTTTACTGTCAACAAGATTTTGAAGGATGTCTTGTTCACTTTAATCACTGTGGATGTCCATTAAAACAATCATGCTGCGCCGTCGTCCTCCTACCACTTCCTGTCATCTTCATTTATGGAAATTGTAGACATTTATTAAAATGGCTACAAATTTAATAAATTGTAGCCATTTTACAATTGGCTAAAATTGTAAAATTGTAGCCAATTTTAGCGACTAAAACTTTAGTGCAACTAGTGCCACTTGTGGCCTAGGGCACGAGGAACGTGGCCTCTTCCTAGTGCTAATGTAACGTGCAGGTGTATTTTCAAATTGTCAGCTATTATATAGTGAATGGAAATACAAACAGTGTCAGATTCTCACTTGCTCTTCACCTGCATCCCTCCTCCAGGTGGCGGTCATCGTCCCGTTCAGAAACCGTCATGAACACCTGGCCCACTGGCTCTACTACGTCCATCCGGTCCTGATGCGTCAGCAGCTGGACTACGGTGTGTACGTCATCAACCAGGACGGAGACGGAATGTTTAACCGGGCCAAGCTCATGAACATCGGATTTGTTGAAGCACTGAAAGAATACGATTACGACTGTTTTGTCTTTTCGGATGTAGACCTGGTGCCAATAGATGATAGAAACCTGTACAGATGTTCTGACCGTCCCAGACATTTATCTGTGGCTATAGATAAATTTAACTACATATTAAACTCAAAAACAGCTTTTGGTGGCGTCTCCCTGCTGACAAAGGAGCAGTTCTTGAAAGTCAACGGTTTCTCAAACACTTTCTGGGGCTGGGGTGGTGAGGACGACGACATGTACAACAGAATCATCATTAGAGGAATGTCCATAAATCGGCCGGACGCTCAGATTGCAAGATACAAAATGATCAAACATGGAAGAGACTTGCACAATGAGGTGAATCCAGAAAACGCTGTAAAAGCACAAAAATCAGCAGAGAATATTGACACTGATGGACTAAATTCACTGAACTTTACTGTCAACAAGATTTTGAAGGATGTCTTGTTCACTTTAATCACTGTGGATGTTCAGCCTCCACCACAGTGAACGCCAGAAATACATGTTGAAATGGTTGTAGCCATGGCTTGGCTTTGGGACGTGTGTGTTTTCTCCATCATTGCTGTAAAGTGCACAATTCAGAGACTGAGGTCCAGACAAAAGTCAGGGAGCAAAAACAATCTTTAATACATCTGCAGACGGAGAGCAAGAAATCCACTGCATTAGGCACAAATTAGGATCCGCTCTGAGGAACCCAGAGCTGCATAGTTACTTTATTCTCTCTTTACTACCGAGGCGGAGACTCAATCTTCTAAGACCAAACAAAAGAAACAAAGGAAAACATACGAAACCTTGTATGTAATATAATGTAATGTCTATGGGAGGTGAAAACTAAACACTCTGTCTCCATGCAGGGAAGGCCACGGGAAAAACAGCGAGTTCCCAAATAACTGTCTGGGAAAGTTCAGCAACCCTGGAAAACTTACTGCAGTAGACACATCTTGGTTCATTAGTTTGTACACCGTTTCCAGCTGCACAGAAAAACACCTTGATACAAAAAACATTACATTTATATGATACATAAAGGAACATCATTTAATACGAATATAACTTCTTCACACTGCACAAGTTAAATACATGAGCTTTGTTTAACAACAGCAAACAGGATATTATTTGCCGTTGATCCTTCTGCACCTGTTTGTCCAACAAGTTAGTTTTATTCTAACTTTCCCTTTTCTCTCTATCTCTGTTAAATTATGTGGGTTGAGTCTTTGGATTGTAGTTTTGTGTTTACCTGAGCAGTTTCAGTATTTCCTGAAGCTGCTAAGCACCAAATGTTTACAAAGTGAAGGAGTGAACTGAAGATGTGCTTTTTTTCTATCATGTCAATATAAACTCATGACTCTTGGTAAAATGTGGGCGAAAAAGGAAAACATCTGTTCAAAAAGACCAAAATCATCCTGCTGATAATAAAAATATGTTTACATCACTGCAAAGTGTTTGTTCTTTGTTTTCTTATATTTTAAGGCAGGTTTTAAAAACAGTTTCCATGTGTCATCAAGGACAAATCAAAGAAATTCAAAAAGACCGGAGAATAATCATTGTGAACCTCCACTAATGAAGAAGCCGTTATTGTAAAACAAGATAAAATCTAAGTTGAGCTTAACGTATTTGGTGACAGTAAACTTGATGTGCCAACAGTCGCTGGTACAACTGGTTTACTTTTGGAACGGTGTTGCTTGGTTACCAAAACAAAAAATAAAAAGCATTTTAGTCACATTTTAACATGACTCAAAATAACACGACTGTATTATTTTGAACACTGTATGATGCTAATAAAACATTTTCTCTTTCAAGAAAAATCTACTTCACAGTGTTTATAGAAAAAACAATTTTCAAGAAAATATGTCCTACAATATTAATGTCACAAAATCTACTGTAAAGACAGAAATTAAATATAATTTATTGTGGCGTAGTTGATAATTGTGTGTGTGTTTCTTTTACGTTTTGTTGACTCTAGTGGCCTCTTTTTGAAAATAGTTCAACAAGAAAAACACAATAAGAGAGGTGGAAGATATGGGGCAAATGTCGCCAGGCCGGGAATTGAACCAGTGACTTCTGCCTCCATCGGAGGGTTTGCCACTGCGCCACTGTAGCAGTGACAAACAATCAAACAAGATTTTGCAATTGAGTCCGCAACACTTTAACTTAATAATTGTTCGAAAGTAACTCCGTTAGCGGTATCGCAACACAGCCGTTAGAAAAGACACAGCACACCACGTCCGTTCCAACCGTCGTCACCCAGCAACGGCACAATAACCCCCTTTCGTAACCACGCTAAACTGCAACAGTAGTACATAACACACAAAAAACCCAAAACAGTATAATTTACCACGACTATTCCATGAAAATGGCTCGTGCGCCACTCTCTCTTTAGTTCTAACATTTCTAGCTTCAGTCCTTCGATGATGTTCCTGCTTCCTGTTCTGTGTTCTGACTTTTCTTGGCTCCTCTCAGCACATCTTTGGTTATTATTGTGTCCCCTACCTCCCCTCTGGTTACAGCTTCTTCCATGAAAGAGGTTGAAACTCATTTTTGCATCCTTCAGCTCTCAGTTCATTTATTTTTGGGAACCTTTTCTCAGTTTTTTCTGTCTTTCTTGCTCCAAGTTTGCAGCTTCACTCACCCGCTCAATTAGGACTTTATCTGATACTGCAGGATTAGTCAGGTACGGTTTTAGTTGGAATTTCACTGCATCGCTTAGCAGTACTGTGTCTATGGAGCGCAGAAATTTCCTTTGTATCAGTTCTGGACTGAATTGTTCGCTTTCATCCTCTTCTTTTGATTTCCAGAGCATTTTTTCTTTCAGTTCTATAGCTGTAAATAGGAAGTTCTGTGCTGATTCTTTTGGATCTCATGAAATGTTCATCAGCTGATGGAGGAGGTCAAAGGAAGAGTAAACTTTAAAATGGCTTCTTAGGATAATTTTCTGCTGGAAATCATCCTGAGAGATGATTTCCAGCATGTGTCTCAGGTGGAGCCCTGGGCTTGTGGCCCGTATGACTGCTTCCAGGATCTCAGTCTCTGAATATCCTTTCCTCTGCCCAGATTCAATTTGGTTGAATAGGGCTCATATAGGACAGTTTATCCCTCTGACCAGCTTCTCCAATCTACCCACAAATCCGAAACTCCCACCTGATGGTCACTTCTGGTATATGAGGCGATGGAGTACAGTGTCTCCTCCAAATGCACCGTCACGCTCAAGTTTTTCTCTAAACCCCCAATTTCCTCCTCTATCCACTGCTGGGTTTTGTTTTGTTCCTCCTGCAATTCCTTGTACTTTTTGTTTAGTAAGTTTAATTCACCTCCGTCAGCTTGTGTCTGTTCTGGTTGTTCTGCCACTTTCCAACATCCAACATTCCATGAAGGTAATTAAATTTTGGAGAAACTGTTGAAACAATTCCGGTTCTTCCTCATTCATGGTATTGTTCAGCGTTGTCTCTGCTAGTCTGATGAGGAAATGCCGAGTTTGGCCCGTAAACCCTCCAGAAGTTTCATCACTATTGAGGTGTTTTCAAACAACAAAAGTTGTGAGAAGATTCTTATGTTCAGTTTCTTGAAATCTCATGATTTCAAGAAAAATCATGAGACTCACCTGACAAAGAAATGTCAGGTGAGTCAGGTGTGAACAAAGCTTCTTCAGGTTTTATTAGTGCAGCACCCTCCCTGTGTTCCTTCTGCTGATTTATGTTTAAAGCGAAACAGTTTGAAAAGCTTTTGCTCTTCTTGAAGCTGATTATTGTTGTCAGGAATCAAAAAGCTCAGGTTCCAGCTTGTTTTGCACCAGATGACAGTGGAGCACAAACACCATAGCTATGTTTTAGTGTTACATTTTTATTCTACATTATGTTGTTAGTGTGATAGATTGGCTGAGCACCAACATGTAGGGAGCAAAACAGGAAGACGTGAGAAAAAAGCCACCCGTCATGAACACTGTGAACCTTTGTTTATTTGTCTGTAAAATTCTCTTCCTTCCAAAGATGCAAAGTTTTGTCGGATTCATCAAAGAGCGCACAAAGAAGCTGCTGAAGGTTGTAGTCAGATCTGGTTTGACTGGTGAAGATGTGGATTGTAAACCTGAAAAAGGGCTTTGGAGTTCACAGGAAAAGAAGCAGAGTCAGTTTTTGAAAAAATGTTTTGTGGTAAGGTATTTTATCATCAAAGTAAATTAACGTGGGAGTGATCCTGAAACAGGGCGTTGGTATAGAATACCACAGAGTTCCTCATCAGGAATGTCAAGGGACAGGAACAAAAGCGCACGCTAAAATGTTTCATGGTGTGAAGAAGTTATATTCGTATTAAATGATGTTCCTTTATGCATCATATAAATGTAATGTTTTTTGTATCAAGGTGTTTTTCTGTGCAGCTGCAAACGGTGTACAAACTAATGAACCAAGATGTGTCTACTGCAGTAAGTTTCCAGGGTTGCTGAACTTTCCCAGACAGTTATTTGGGAACTCGCTGTTTTTCCCGTGGCCTTCCCTGCATGGAGACAGAGTGTTTAGTTTTCACCTCCCGTAAACATTACAGTGAATAAGCATACAAGGTTTCGTATGTTTTCCTTTGTTTCTTTTGTTTGGTCTTGGAAAATTGAGTCTCTGCCTCGGTAGTAAAGAGAGATGAATAAAGTAACTATGCAACTGGGTTCCTCAGAGCGGATCCTAATTTGTGCCTAATGCAGTGGATTTCTTGCTCTCCGTCTGCAGATGTATTAAAGATTGTTTTTGCTCCCTGACTTTTGTCTGGACCTCAGTCTCTGAATTGTGCACTTCACAATTTGGTGCATTGGCCGTCCAAGTCGGTGGACCTCAGGAGAGGGCTGATCACCAAACCTTCAAACTGGTTTTCCTCCAAACCTCTGCTAGGTCTGTCTGAGAAAAAGAGGACTCTTCTGATACTCCACCGGGTTGGATCAGCCACGACAGGATAAACTCAGAGCTGAGAGGGGCTGCAAAACATCTTAAGGTTTGTAGATCTATTTATTTAGACTGAGTTGTAGGTCTATCAAATTAGACTGAGGATTGAAGTCAACGTTTCAAATAAGCGTTTTAAATTGTAGGAGGTTTGCAGAATTACAATTAGAGAAAGGGAAATCATGTGTTCAATATTTGTCACAATGGCATAAATTTGGATTTCCTATTCATGGGTTATTTGAACCTGAGTTTTTGATAGTAATTTACTGCTACAGAAACAACAGCTGCTGAGAAAAAAAATAAAAGAAAAAACATAATAAAAATCTCACTCAACCATTTACAAATAATGCAAGCACACACAGATACACTCAGAGTCTGGAAACAGGAATAAAAAACAAAACAAAACACGCACAACAACATAGATTTCAGATGGTTCAGAAAGCTGAAGAAAGAAAAAGAAACATGAGAAATCAGCTGAACAAGATGAGAAAAATAAGAAAATGACTGTTTTTCTCTCTTCCCAACATGTCAACCTGCTGCGATGAGCTTGCATCCAGCGGCACCAACGGGTTCACCTGGCATCGCTAGACTCTATCCAGCTCTTCCTCCTTACCAACCATCAGCCTCACTGAGGAAAGACTTTTTTTTTTCTACATTGATGACCATTATCCCTACGGCCCGAAGACTGAGGAGGAAGACACTATGCCTCCCCTGGAGGGGGAGGAAGAAAAGACTGTTTTTACTCCACTTGCTGAGAAACTCTACAACACCAGCCTAAGCCTTCACCAGGTGCTTCGACTGATCTTCAGTGTCCCATGTATGGACCGTGAGGTTTTATGAGACCCAACTACACAATTCTGCCAACTCACCATGCTTCATCAGGCTGCCCTGAACATCCACAGCCACAGCAAGGACAGTATGGACAGTCACAAAGCAACACACTGCCTGATGTGGACAACAAGGACGTTGGGCCAGAGACTGCTTCCAGAGACAATTCAGAAACAACCAGGAGGTTGCACAGAGGCCGAGGAGGAAGATTTGATGTCAACCAAAGAGACTTCCCAGATGGGTCAAGTTTTTCCTTTAAGAGGTGGATTTATAGGACATTGTGGAGGTATTCCAGCTAACTAGACCTGGTGCCGTTGGAGCAACCTCTGGTTCAGCAAATCGCAAGTACCAACACACACAACACATATGTAAAATATACAACTGAAATACACAAAGTCCTTCCTATGCTCACTATTTCTGTCTATTGAATGTTCAGACACGGGGCTACGTGTCCAAAACAAACTCCAACTGATTTAATTTGTTCAAAACACCAAGTCTGCTCTACATTTTTAAATGGTTGATTACAGACCGACAATCTGAGGCCATTTCACAAATGGCTCAGGAAAGAGTTCCTCCCACTTCCACTGTGAAGTCAGTAAAATGTCTTCATTGCACAGCTCACGTGTCCACAGATCCAGCTGATGAGCTGAGTGACTCCTCCCTTCTGACACGCCCATCTTTGCTGCAT